TATTTGAATGATGGTACAAACTTATTCTAAAAATAAATAAAAATACGAAAAATATGCGTCAAACAAAAGCAAAAAATGTATGGTGTCGAACTGACCACGCATTGAAACGCTGGCGTCGAACTGACCTGTACCGGCGAGGTATTAGAGCCCTACATTCGCCTTTTCTGGAGTGCAGTGGGCCCCGAGTTCACCTTACAGGATGATAACGCGAGGCCACATAGACCTCTGGTTGACGAATATCTCGACAGTGAGGATATTCGCTGGATGGATTGGGTAGCCAGGTCTCTAGACCTCAACCCTATACAGCATATCTAGGACGCTCTGGGGAGAACAATTGCAACTCACAAACCCCCTCCAAGAACCATCCAGGAACTGAAAACTGCGTTGCTAAATAAGTGGGACCAATTGCCACAGGCACCGATAAAGTGCTTTATTTCCAGTATGACATCAGGCTGCGAGGCCTGTATGGCTGTAAGAGGGGACCATAACCTCTATTAACCCATTTCTTTTGTGTTTTCTGCAACCGTTGTTTCAGACCTTCAGACTCCCATGAGTGTTACACACGAACATGTGTATCTATTATAACTATTGAATGTTTATTTTGTTTGTATTATATCAACCTATGTTCACACCAAATTTTATTAAAAATCTGTCCAGTAGTTCTGGGGATCGTAGATCAAATATGAAAACTCCCTTAATTTCTTTCACCTGTGTATTTTTGCCTTGCTTTGAAATGAGAACAGAATTGATTGAATTAGAAATATATCTCTAATGAAATCTGAGGAAATAAGTTTAAATGAAGTGTGGCAAAAATGGATATAATTTAATAGGACGTACAAGTAAGTTGTGTCCACACCAAATATTTTTTTAATTATTTAGCTTAATATATTTTGAACCCAATTTCAAATAATAAATATCTTAATCAAGTCTTAATTATGATGCAATTTTTCAGTGTTTTAATATGCATCAGGCATGCATATTTTCCAGTTTTAGTCATTAAAAATATAAATAAAAATTGAACATTTTAAAATTACTGCAATTAAAATAACACATACCTGTTTTTGAAAATCTTTTTTTTTTGGGGGGGGGAGGGGTGATCAAATGCGAGAGTGGGAGAGAGATCCATTTCTAGCCTTACACAAATTTAATATAACAAATTGAAGTATACCATAAGAATTACATGAGCACTATTTTATCATACTTGAAATTTACAATAGCTTATGTACATTTGATAAACTCTTTATTCCAATATTATTTAAATGTAGAATTAACTGAAAAATATCAATATTGACTTTGAGGTATAATGTTTGCCCATTTCTGCAGAAAACACTTGTTCGAGTTGCGTTTTCTACCTTTCCAGAAATTTCAATTCGTGAGTTCCATCGAAAGATTCCCGATACATTTCCCCCCTTTAAGTATTTCTTAGTAACTGTATTATAGCAAATAAAAATGTGCATTCATCCGCATATGATAATTTTTGTTTAAATCAGTATGAAACTCTTTGTTTTTATTTTCATATAATGTTGGATATTTTACATAGGAATTCCTTTACCAGTGTCATAAAAATTCTTAATTTAACAGAACTACAGATTTACTGTCAAATCTGTATATAATTTTTAGAATTTTTTTAAAAAAAGCATAATTTGTTTAAACTATATTTGTAAATTTTGAATGACAAGATTTTTATTTTTAAACACAAATGTTTTTTTCTTTCAGGTTTATTTTATATAGTATATATATTGTTTTTTTTTACATTAATGTTAAAGTGTGGTTATTAATGTGAATTTCAAATGAAATTTAATTTTTCATTTCTTGTATTCAGATTTAATTTTAAATGGAAAGCAGCCTATAAAAGCAACAGGGACACCTTTTAAAAAGCCTTTTGCAAGCAAAATTAACCGTAATACAAGCAGCAATCACCTAATGCAGGCTGAATTACACTTGTACATAAATGTTCTCATTCTCCTTGACAGCCAAGATTATCAAATATACTATATAGCTATCAAAAATCCAATATAGACTATATAGCTATTAAAAATTCAACAAACTTCTCAACAATTACAATTACACCCACTAGAGGACATTAATAAAATTTGATCCCCAAACAAAATCAGTTACACAAAATCCTGGATAAGGCACTCACAAAGCAAATGAGAAAGTGGATGAACTTTCAAACCAAGCTAGTCAAATACAAATAAGTTTATTTGTGATCATCCCTTAACACACTCTCATCTAAAATACAAACTGATGAAAATAGCACTGGAGAGCTGGCAGCAAGAATGGGCCTCTGTAATATAACACACAATTTCTTTCAGAGAAATTAACAAGTTTCAACACATTTCTTACCTAGTATCTAACAGGTCAACATTTGCATATGTAGGGAACGAGGGAGATCCAGACCACTATGTTTTGCAGTGCCTAAGAAATTTCACCTGAAACATTACCAAAATATTCAAAGACTTACCATTAAAACTCCAGCCTTAATCAACAATATCATAAACAAACTATCAAGTGAAGGCAGGGATTTGGGCCAAGTAACTTAAAAATCACTAAACTGCTATTACTAATATTATCATTGACTTGATACGATAGCTCTTAAATAAAATATGGTTTTAAAGCATTATTTAACTTACTATTAATTGAATTAAGATTAGTTTATATCCAAAATTTTTCTTAATTATTAAGACAATATTTAGAATGGCATTTAAGACTAAATTTTATGTATCCAATACAAGTAAGAATGAATTAACTTGATCATTATAACATGGTATGTGGTTGAATATTCAGCGTGAATGCTTACAACATGCTTGATTAATAATATTGGCTTAAAAAGGAAATGTCATTTCATAAAATCATTTTTATTACTTCCTAGTACGAAGTTAAAAGAAGTATTGTAATTACGAAAAATTTTGGGTATATTTCAACAAAAACATCCATTTTGATCGCTATTGAATGCAATTTAATGATGTTTTTGTTTGATATCTGTACATAAGAGACAGATTAAAGGACTCTTTTGCCCCACAAAAAATTATAAAACTGATTTAAAACTGCAAATTTTTCGTGGTTTATGTATCTCGCATAACCCAAAAACATTGAAATTTTGTATACAGGACTGTTATATCATGTAGATGTGCATCTCCTATTTCGTTTGCAATCGGCCACACCCAAAAGTACATAAATATATATATATCCACTTTGTTACTCAGCTCAGTTTCTTTCTTTATTCTTATATGTTTGTAAATTCTACATTTTTTTTTTTCTTTAAAAACTATTGAATTATATTGTTCTTATCATCCAGTTAAGGTTTTTATGCCTTTACTAAATCTGCATACAATATTTGTACAATTATCAACAATTTAAAAGTTGTTTAAATTTGGTTAAGCCAAATTATTTTTACCATAGTGGTCATATTTGTTTACATTTGAAACTTAGCAGAACAGTGAATTTGCTGCCAATCTAGAGAAACTAAGCTTTGCAACAACAAAGATAATGCCTTCTTTTATTATTGCGAATTAAATCATGCTTACTCCATTCTGGAATTTATTCAAGGAAATAAGTGTTTAAGATTTACTTTGTAATTTTTAATATATATATATTTATTGTAATTTTTAATATATATGTTTTTATTCTTTATGCCTTGTTGCGAAATTAGAACTGAATTAATTGAATGAGAAATACTGAATCATCTGTGAAAAACTGTTTTTTTTTAAAGTTTAATTTCTTTTATACGTTTTAGATTTATTACAGTATTTGAAAAGAACATGTGGCAACGATTAGAAAATTCTTCAGATGATATAAATTTTGTGTATTCTGAGTTAAAATATGAATTAAATGCAACACTATTAAGTGATCCTAGCACCAGAGTGTCGCAATGCCAAACAAATATAATGAATTTTAAAGAGTGTATTTATTCTACTGATTTATGCACTATTGACGAAGCAGATTTAATTCAATAAAATAAGTTTAAATGAAATGCAAGAAAAAATGTGTATAATTTAATATTTCATACAAGGAAGTCGTGGCAAAGACATCCAGATTTTTAATTTGTGTGCTGTTTTTTTCACAAGACTTCTTATAAAATTCAAATAGTGATTACGCCATTAATAATTCTGGTTTTAAATTAACTTTGCCAAGATTTTATAGTTTAGAAAATACAATCAAACAGTAGTACTAGTATGCCTTGGATTTTGTTCATGGCAGTTAATGCAGGCTGAATGAATAAGTTCCTCATGTTTAACAAATATGAGGCAGATCCCTTTAAAATGTCCTTTAATAATCTCTCTAAATGGCCCACATAAGCACATTTGTCATTTGCATTTTTAAATGGATCGTGTCCACATACATAAACCTTAATGAAAGTGTAAAATAAACCTTTATATTAAATTTTTAGAAATAATGATTATTTTTGTTAATAGCATTTATATTGAGTGTTAACCATCAGTTATCCTCTGAAGGTTCAGAAACTTTTTGTATTGTTTAATCCCAATTTAAAATTCACTTTTTATTTTCAGTGTTTCACTGAATTTTCTTGATGGACACAGGTTACCTTTTTCTTCTCTTTTTTTAAAGGTGAAAAGATTGCATTTGCATTCAAAATATTTTTAATTCATTTAATGGATAACAGGGATGCAAACATTTATTTACTTTGGTAGGGAAAAAAGAACTATTGCCTTAATGTTCAAATATACTAAGAAAAATTTGACATCTAAACATCTAAGTTAAATATTAGGAGAAAGGGGAAAAAAAAAAAAAAAAAAAAAAAAAAAAAAAAAAAAAAAAAAAAAAACCCTTCCTTTCTAAAATTATTTCTTTAATTATAAAAATGAATATATTTCATACATTCTTATTAAATTAAAAATGCTTGAAATCATTTCAGAAACCTTGTCTAGATGTTATAAATCTTTTGTTTCTGTACAAATATTGAAAAAAGTGGAATCTCATTAAATATCTGGTAGAAGTAATTATAATGGCACAATTTAATTTACTTACTACATATTCTATTTGATGTTTTTAAGAAATGTGAAGAGTAATCATTTATTTAGGATTTCTATATTTGTACAAACAATACACAGACACACTACAAATATACAAATTAATTTTACATGCAGTGAGTACATAACATTTTCAAATTTATATATTGATTGAAAAAATGCAATTTTTTAATTCTAAAATATGCAGGGATGTGTTTCCCCCAAATCGTAAGAAGCTTAATATAGCACCATTTCATTCCCATATGTAATAAATATCCAGAAACTGAATGATCTAGTTGTAGATAAGACCTCTCTGTAGTTTAACATGGCAGTGTTTATACAGCTGTAACCCAGTTCAGTTATTTCCTGGGGAAATAAATAAATTGTCATTTTTTAACATATTAAAAATATATTACACTCAGAAAATTATTAATTCTAAAAAATGGATATTAATGTGAATACCAAAGGAATATTTCGAGATGTAGGAAAACCAATACATTTATTTCAAAATTAGACTGTGTCAACTTGTCCTTACAAAATACTGTTTATGAGTTTTGCTTAGCATTGTTACAGAATAATGCTGAACTTGAGAAAATTTAAAAACATCAAAAATCTTTTAAATTTAATGGCCTTTTATTTGCATTTGAAAAACTTTTAATTCCTTCAGGAAAAATATACAATGTAATTTTATAGTTTATTTTCACAAACTTTTTAAAAAATTCCTCTGTAATCTGTCTAAATGTAGACAGACATTTATGGAGATTTTAATTGGCAAGTTCTTGACACAAATATTGTTACAAAATAAAGTTTTTCTTTGCTAAATGAACCTTCTCCATATTTCGAAAGAAAAAATCTATTACTATTTTTGGACACATAATATTAACTTTTATTTACAGTTAAACTGCAATAATTTCTAACACCAGCTATAGGTGCATTTAAGTTACTCTTTCTTTGTAATTAAAAGTACATATTTAAACATATGAATGCCTGCATATTATCCTGTTCTGCTCAGAGATTTATTGTAGCATTTCAACACAGTTTTTCTCCCCTCTCTTTTGTGAAAATTTCAACCTACCCCAGTCCTCTTAGTAACGAAGTAGATTAACCCCATTTTGATTGGACTTTTTTTACGAATTTCTGACCCCCAAAAAGCATTCTTTTAAATTTTTAATTTAATTTAATGTATGTTCTATCCTAAATTTGAAAACACTAAATATTTTGGACAGTAAGCAGTTTTTGATGGACCTATAGGTGGTCAAATATGTGATATCCCATCCACTGATCACCAGTTTTCCCAGCAATGCATCCAAGTTTTAAATTAAAAAAATACAATGTGATAATTATATTTATTAACTCTCTTATTTTGATGTGTTTAATATAATATCTACATAAAAACTATTAGAATTACATAAAAAATGATTTAGAAAATGGATTTTTAAGCTTACCGCTAAAACAGCTTTAAGGCGGGAAATCTCACTGCGAAAATTGAAACTAGGACAAGTCGCACTATCTCTTAGCAATATTCAGAAATACAAAAATAATTGCAGAATTTAAAACGACATTATGAGTAATGATGAATTTAGTTTCGATGATGATTTTTCACTTCGTCGCATGGCATACAACGCCAACCTTAGAGGCACAAAAAAAGGTCGAACGTGTGAGATGCGATGCCAACCAAGGGGTTAAGGAAGTTAGGTAGCTGCTGTCAATCATTACTTACATTAGTTTTTATCGTAAGCCATTAGCATTATGACCATACCTTACTGTAAGCTAAACTTTCAGTTCATTCTGCATACACTTTCTCATCAGATATTCCATGTGTTGAGTCATCTGTGCAAGTGAAAATGACCATGAGCAAAAAAGAAAAATTAACAAAACAATGGAAACAAAACTGGACAAATGGTAAAATATTAGCAAATTGTCATGGATTTAGGTGTTGGACAAAATGCAATAGAAGGGATAAAGAAGTCCAAAACTAAATAAAGTCATAGTGTATTAAAAGAGCATGTACTTACAGTTTAAAGGAAAAGAACATGAAAAATGACGAATATGAGAAAGTGAGTGAGGAACTTTATTTGTTTAGATAGCAAAGGGAAAAAGTAATGCCCATTTCAGAACTCATTTTGTAAGAGGACACTCTCGAACTTTATAAGGAATTTCATGGAGAGCCTGGATTTTTTGCTGATGGTGGCTGGCTTGACAGGTGGGAGATGCACAATTACACAGAGTTAAGTGTTTTTGTTGAAAAACTGTCTGCTGACTTCGAAAATGTTAATAAATTCAAAGATAGTTTCCACAGCATAATCGAAAAGGGAGATTTACATGGGGGATCAAATTTACAACTATAAGTATGGTCTGATTTTTTGAATGCTGCCTTCAAAAAGGTTTGGTAAAGAAAAATAATTCCTAAGATATTACTTCCATATAAGAAGTAAGGATAGAGGCACAATATTGGCATGCAGCAATACAACAGGCTGCCATGAACTTAAACTAGCACTCCAAGTAAATGGGGAAATGTAAAAAAGGGCACCAATAAGAATAACAAAATAACACCTGTTTGGTACAGGATTCAGTTGGATGCATACTTTCCAACCTACGACACTCAAAAATCAGACTCTCAAGGACAAAAAGATTTTTTAAATGATAAAAATGTACTTTTAATAATGATTAAACTTATGGTTACTAATTAATAATTTTTAAGTGCAAAGAGTACAAAAATAGTTAAACATAAAAAAATATTATTTACATCTTTTTAACAAAAAATAATACTTTAATAAGTTTTTACGCGAATGCTATGAACAGTGCAGACTTTGCTTTCGTTAAGAAAGAAACTTGATAATTTTGTTCATAGCAATTGCCTACGTATACCTGCTTTTGCTAATAGAAGTTTTTCCAATATACCATTACAAATATTAGATCTAAATTTAGCCCTTGTTTTCGCAACAACGCTAAAAACCCTCTCATACTCTGCATTACAATGGGGAATTGTCAGGATTACCAACATTATTCTAGGCAGTTCACTATACTTAAAAATTTCATCAGTGCACCTTTCAGTTTTCCAATTAAGCTCCACTGGGTGGTTTTATAATAATTTTCCAATAGCTGGTTTTATAATTTTATCCAAGTTTTTTAATTATAAACTTCAAAACTGACTGCAATTTATCAGCTGTAACGTCAATACCATCCTCTTTCATGACTAAAGCAAAACTGGAAATCAATTAAAAAATATATCAGAAAAAGATGCATTTGTTAGAGAAGAAACACCTGCAAATAGATCATTGACTGCAAAACATGAATTAATGGAATTATGCTTTGTAAAACTGTGTTACAAAAATCAGAAGATGGAAAAACGAATTGTACAGCAAAATGAATAACCAGCATACAAATAATGTTTCATTGGTAAAATATTTAGTGTGTATACATGTTTCAAAATTTTTCTCATTTCAGAATTATGCAGCTGTTGGAATTGTTTCAGCTTTTCCTTCCTTTTAGAACTCCTTTCAAGATAATAATATATATCAATAAAGTATTTATCACACTTACTGGTAAAGAAGCTGCCCCTTTTTCAGCCACTAAATTTAAGAGGTGACAAGTGCACCTAATAATTTGCAAATCTGAATTTTTCTGTATGTAATGCTTGCAACACCAGTCTTCAAACCTACCATTACTGGTGCCTTATCGGAACCAGGTGCTAAGCAATTATCCAGAGGAATTACATTTTCTTCTAAAATTTTAATAAGTAGATGACCTATATTTAAGCCTGTCGAATGTCCTTCTAAAGCAGGGACAGAAAGTAAACTACATTCAATTTCTGAAGACACTGGATTAAAAAAAGAAACAACTGGATACAGTTTTGAGTTGAAATATCCATAGAGAAGCAAAATGGAACTGTTTTAATGCAGTCAATAACTGAAGATTTATTTTTCATACATTTCCTTAACAATTGTAGTCATTTCAGTTCTTGCACTTCTATTAGTGATTCTAGTACTTCTTAGCAATTTTGTTAGCGGGAAACATTTTTCTAACTAAAGGTGCAGCATGATCTGATGTTTTCAGTAGCAGGTTGTGCCCCAGTAAAACGGCAGAGAACAGGCATTCTGCATTTTTGGTCCTTTGTTTCCACAGAAAAATTTAATTTTTTTTCAATAGAACTCATGTTTTTGTATAGGCACATGTTAAAGAACATCGGCCCTTCCACTGTGAGAAATCGAAAAATCATAATGACAACCGGTGCACATTACAAATGTATTACATTTCCTTGAGGAAATAAAAGGAAAGTCATCTGTATATGATTTTTGAAAAGTACATAAATATTTTAACTTTTTCACAGACATAATTAAAACAAAAGATCGTAAGTCCTTAAATAAATTACTTCTTGAAAGTACGTATATTCACACGACTCAGCGACAATATGAATGAAATAACCTTGATCTTGCTTTGTGTTCATATATGCACCAGATGACATGCAGTAGTGTTCGATGCTCATTGGAGAAATTTTTCACTGATGAAATGACCTTGGTTTTTTTATTAATGTAATTTGGGGAAAAACAAAATGCTTTCAGACACCTAAAATCACTTTTAATATATATATATATATATATACAAATAATGAAGTATTAAGCCAAGCTAAATAAAAATCCTGAGAAATCTTTAAGACTAATAGTAAGTTAGGAAAAATACCTTAATCGGGACAGTTGGCAACTCTGCAGATGCATGCATATATGGAGTCTTTTTAAGGAACTGGTTTTAGCAGCAGTTTGTTTCTTTGATAAAAAAGTTTCAAAAAAAAAAAGGCATTTCTCATTTTTAAAAATTCTTCATCCTATCCTGATAAAGAGCAGTTATGAGACAAAGACATAAGAGTAATGTTTCTTTAACATGACTTTGATATTTCAGTTAATGGACTTTAGGCACTTGGCACAATCAATAAACTAAAGAAATTACACATGTTGGATATAGTGGGGTGGATAATGGAATGAAAGGGAACATCACTAATTTCTGAACCATTCAGGGAAAAAGTTTCAAGAAAAGCAGATGAGAGAAAATTTTGAAATAGTGGACTTACTGAAGAAAACTCCAGGCTGGGAAGAAATTACGGATGGTGATTTCGGGGAATGAATATAGCAAGATGAAAACAATGAACTTTTAAAACAATCAGACAGCCAGAGGAGTGCCATGTTTCTCCATTGCGTATGTGACAAAGCTACGTGAAGACAAAATGAGTGCAACAGACAGTCTAGTACCACGAGATTTTTTTTTTCTGCTAGAAACCACTGGTCATTTCTTAAAGTTTCATAATTTTATTTGAGATCAAAAGTTCTCACACCTATTTTTAACAATGGAAGCAATATCTATGTCTGCATTTACTTAGGGTATTTTATAACTTTCAACACAGCCTTTCTTAACTCTAGAAGCATCTACTTTTTCCTTAAAAAATGCAAGTGGTTGATAAAGCATGTACACATATATTTGAGATTTTTTTTCTTATTGCAGTATTATGCAGCTGTTGAAATTACTTCAATTTTTCGTTGCTTTTAGCAATCGTTCCAAGATAATAATATATATCAACAATATGTTCAACCACTCTAATTGGCAAAGAAGCTGACCCTTTTTTACTGCTAAATTTAAGAGGTGACAGATGCATTTCATAATTTGCAAATATGAATTTTCTTTTTTTTTAAATGTCTGAAACATCAATCTTCAAGCCTGAAATTCCTGGTGCATTTGTGGTATGGCAATAAGTGCTAAGCAATTATCCTGAAGAATTGCACTTTCTTTTAAAATTTTAATAATTAGCTGTACTATAGTTAAAGCCTGCCTTCTAAAGTGGGGACAGAAAGTAAACTACACTCAATTTCTCAAGACTCTGGATTTTTTTTAAGGAAAAAAAAAAAAGAGAAATACAGTTTTAAATCAGTATTATTGCTTCCATCTGTAAGACAGACTGAAAATGTTTGAATGCAATCAATAACTGAAGACTAATTTTTATTCTTTTTTTACAATTGCAGCCATTTTTGTCTTTGCACTTGAGAATTTCTTAGCGATTTTACTACAGAGAACATTTCTCTAAAAAGCTGCAACATGATCCGATGAATTCTGTGGCAGATTGTGCTCCAGTAAAAAGGCAGAGAATAGGCATTCTGTATTAATAACCTTTTGGTCTTTTGTTTCTTCAGAAATATTGAAATTGTTTCTAGTCTTTCTTTCAGATGCCAAAAATCACTTTTTGCACACTCTCGATACTAACAAATAATGAAGTATTTAGACAAGCTACATGAAAATCGTGAGAAATTTTTAGAAAAAAAGAATGTTGGGAGAAATATGTTAAAAATCGGGAGTATGGTCTGAATTGGAAGAGTTGTCAACTCTGAGAGAGTATCGAATTCCTTTAAGGCTTTGTTATTTAACTTATGATAAAATGGTTATGGAAATAGATACAAATAACAGTAATTATTTATATACTATTGCCTAACTGATATTACATTAATAATTATATTTTTGCTTATAAAAATATCTTAAATTATTCCAAAAGAAATTTATCACAAGCATTCAATAATACTAGATAAAGTTATAAAGAACTACAAAAGATACTTGCTTTTCTTCAGAAATCTCAGGTCTGGTGTTTTCCAACAGCCATGGATGTTGTAAGACATCATCAGTGCTCATTCTTTCAGCAGGATTTTTTCTAAGCAACTATACAAACAAAATTCAATATTTAATTTTAAATGTATATATAATTATACAGTAAACACTTAAAGTGATAATGGTTAATGTTATCGAATGTCAAAGACCTGCTTATTTGTACGGTTACGTTATCTTCTTCCTTCACATTCGTATGGATTTGGAGTGAATAATTACAACACTACTTGATGAAGTATCGAAACACACTTTATTAACCAGTATTGTAAGGTCTAAAACACGTTTTACAGTCGTTGATGAACTCCTATAAACATGCTGACACGATCAGCGACACAGCCTTCAGGTTATCAGGCTATCACGGTGGAGACAGCTTCACTGCAAAGCACCAGAGTATAGCTCCCGACTCTGCTCGGTCGTTCTCGGAACTCCACGTACTCTCGAGACTCTCCACGCTACAACTCGCGATGCACTCAACGGCACACAGAGAACGGCTCCCGACTCTTCGGTTCAGTTGTTCCCAGAGCTCAACACGCTCTCTCGACGATGCACTAAGAGACTCCTTCGGTGAATTTAACGACCCACTCAGCACTTGCTGCCCGGCTGTCAACTCCACACGGATTGACTAACTATCTCACACTTTAGACGAGGCACACTCTCGATACTAACTAACTGACTTACTGCGAACCAGCAGGGTTTATATGACTTGTGTTCGAGAACATTCTGGGCTAAACTGGTAAGAATTCATTCCAGAAGGTTCTCCATCAGTCCATGGCATATTGCCAATTTTGTAGGCAAATGGACGAGTTCTAGCCAAATGGTGCAACCCTGCCTTCCCTTGCAATTTTATGGTAACCCTAAAACTGCTTTGCGGGAAAGCCACCTTACCACGCTTGTACATTTCGTAACAGTACAGGAAAACACATTACTCAATGTGATAAAAAAAATCAGTTATGAAATTATTATCTAATGAATTTCTTAAAGTGAAGCAATGCTGGCAAAGAAAAGATAAATCATCAAATAAGATCAAAACAGAGTATAGAAAATGCCAAATAACAAAAGGCATACCGTCAAGCATCTTGATTTTGATTTACGGTGACATTTAAATTTTAAAACCTCCTCTCAGAAAAGACAATAAAGATCTACTTTAAGCATGCAAAGTTTTCAACAAATGATGAAATAAAAGAAGCTGAAGAACTAGAAATCTCCCCAATTAACACGATTTGTGAAGAATTCAATATTTAGGAATGATATTAATGAAAAGAACTTACATCAATAAAAGAAGCTGAAGAAAAAAGAAAAAGATATTTACATGTCATTTTCTGAAACATATCCAAGCAAATACGATAAACTGAAGAAAATGATGAGAAATGAATTTGAAGAAAAATGAATTTCCTACAAATTATGAGATAAATTGGTCAAATAATTTCCAGAAACATTATAAATATGAAGAATTCTTAAATAAACTTTTGCATAATAATTCCAAACAATAAACTATTAATGACTTTTCCCTAATTAAAATGGTTACAAAAGTACGTACTTATAAGCTATGTACAAATGGGATGACATTAAATGGCATATACTGTGTATATGGTGGCTCACATTTGTTTTTGGACACTTACAATGTTAAAATTTACTTGCATTGTTCTTGTCCTGATTACTGAAACATGACCTTAAACTTTTTGCTACATTTTTCCCCTTGATGCAAAATAAATATCAAACTGTTCTTTAAAGTAATTTATTCATAGAGTTGGAAGCAATAACTTGCATAATTCAGACACCCAAAGTTTTATTGAAATGTTTAGGCAAATATTTGTCAAAATTCTTTGTTTTAAACAAAATACATTACAAGAAGTGTTTTCTGTATTTGGAAATTATTATTTATTTAGGAAAAATATATACAGTTACATACCTGAAATAAATATGGCAAGATGCTACAAATTAATGACCAGTTTTTATTAGAATTTTAATTATTCAACACTTAAGAGATGGTAAAAGTATTTGAAATGTGCAAAATATCCTTGATATAAAATGTTCAACTATTTAAGATTATAAATGATGGAAACTGAGCAGAGTTCCACCAAGGAATCGGAGATTTAGCTATGGAATATATATATATATATAATTGCTATAAAATTATATATATACAAATATAAATATTACTGCTATAAAATTTGCAGAGGATTCAGAAGAACAGTTTGGAATGAAAGTGAACCCTGAAACTATTAAAAAGTCATTAAAGCTTATGGATACAATGGATTATCAGCAAGAAGGAAATTCTTTAACAGTAACAAAACTATTGGGGGGGGGCGAAGCCTGACATTCACAAAATCAAAATAAGCAAAGATTTATCATAGCTGAACAATGTTATATTTGCAGATGAATAAAAAAATTAATATATTTGATCCAATGTATAGATTATGTAAGACAAAACTCAAATGAAAAATAGGATCCAAAAAACATTGCTTACTGTTAAGCATGGGCTGTGGTGATGGCGATAAGGAGCGCGCCTTGCGCCCTCCGATAAGTGTGGCAACCCTAGAGGAGAAGTTTCTTACGAGTAGCGAGCAGAGCGAAACAGGCAGGCTGTCGGGCAGTGTGCGCGAAGTTCCGAAATAAAGCTTAATTTTTATTGTGCACTATGTCTTGTTAATATTTATATTAATGCAGTACGAACATAATCTGTGATATGGAATTTGAGGATTGGTGGTAAAACATAACAGGAAATCACTATAGGGCGAAGGCATAATTGGTTTTTGGGTTTTGTAGCCTCTGGTAGGGAAATTAAGTTTTTGTAGAAAATAATATGGATCAGTATAAGTATATGGATCAGTATAAGTATATAAATATTCTTAAAGAAAAGCTGAAAGCATCTGCAGGAAATCTTGCAATGCAAAATGTATTTCAGTTCTATCATAACAATCCTATACGTAAAGGCCTAAATGTCACATGTGGTCATTATACAAATGTCCTAACGTTATCAAAAAACCTTTCATATTCTCCGTACTTAAATTCTAACAACAAACATATACAGAATAACTTACAGAAAACAAGAAAAATGACATTTCTTCGAAGGCTTTATTAAAAGCAATTCTTATGGAGGAATGGAATAATCTGAAAAAAATTAGTTGATCTACGATAAAATGAATAAAAAGTATAATTTTAGCATAATTAGTAAAGAACTATTAAAGATTTAGCTATTTTCAGGTGTTTATTAAACTGTTTGTTCAAAGTGTCTGAATACTTACAAGTTTATTTTCAGAATTTTATATTTACTAAAATCATTTTGAATAATTTTTTTGAAAACATGCAGATTTTAAAAAAGATGGTCAGGCACTCTTCTGCTATCAGGACCGGATTTAGAAATGTGTATGTGTATGTGTATGTATGTGTCCATGTATGCACAAATGTACATATGTGTGTATATACACACTATATGTGTATACAATACATTTCTGATTCTGGTTCTGATAACAAGAGTACTGATGGTCAGTAGTACACATTAGAAAAATTACAATCATTTAGCTGACATTTAGTACCAAATTATTCTTAAAAAAGGTCTGAAATCAAATTTCAACCACTACATATAATAACTGAAATATTTTAAACTTGTCAGAAAATCATGCATTCTGAAAAAGAATAGCATCAGAAATTATGAATACAGTCAAAAGTCGTTAATCCGGACTCGTCGGGACTTCGGCGATTCTGGATTATAGATCATCAGTTTAAATCTCGTAAGATGGCATGCAGATATTCTAAAATTAAAAATATGAAACCGTAAATTTATGAAATAAAGAACAATTATGATCTAAAGGGTATCAAAATTTGCAAAAGAAAAAGCTTAATATTTATTGTTTTACTTTATTAAACATTTCTTTCAATGTAAGTTGTTTTAAGTTTTGCTTCGTTTCATGTGATAATACTTTCTCTTTAATTCTATTAAACAGACATAATTTCTTGTTCAGTTACAAAGTTCCGCCGTTCAAGTCCTATAATTGCTGTGTCAAGAACACCGACTAATTTGTCAATCGAAATTTTTTTTTGTTTTCAATAACCTCTGTCACTTTCTTCGCTATCGGAAGCGAATTATAATGAGGAGGAAACTTGTTTTAAATCATATCAAAGACGGAGCATATCGAGATGAAATACTACATTTGATAAGGAATTATAAGCCAAATAAAATAAAAACATCTGCGCTGAAGATAAGGATAGTGCTGACAATCAACTTTCCAATTCATTAGGCGCCCGAACGCCGAGAGCACGTGAAATTGATAAACAGATTTCGGATTTCAAAACATACTTTCGCTTTAGATCCTTTTCATATTAACAAATATATATCGGAAATTCTATTTGATATAATCGAAAGTTTAAGCTTACTTTTATAAAATTGCTCTTACAGTCTGCAAAAAATAATAAGCCGGATGCAATTCGAAAATTAAGGAACAACGCAATCATCAACATTAACTGAAATAGATAAATATTTAGCTTATACGTCCATTATACATAAAATGTGCACGCGAAAACGTATTCTGCACTTGCGCACACTCATATGCGCAGTCGTAAAAGGTCTTACGCGCACGCGTGAATGCCTCTGCGCATGTGTCAACGCGGCACATGCGCAGAAAGTTTTTAGTTTTGATGTCCGGATTATAGATCCTTCCGAATTATGGGTGTCCGAATTAACGACTTTTGACTGTATTTTCAAAACTTAACATGCCAGACATTAGATGGTATCTGTAACATAAGAATATTTTTCAAAATTACTTTCACAGTTCAAGTACTGATTTTGACTTTTCAATTAAAACTTTAACTACTTCTTAACAATTACAGTACACTAAGAAAAAGGCTTCAAATGGTACTTTTCGGCTTCCCCTTGTGGGATGTTTAAAATTTTGAGAAGAGTAAAGAAGCACACTATTACATTACCTCTCAGATTCATTCACTGGGCTGATCCCTATCAATATTGGGATGAAGCTGCATAATAAATGTGATGGGACTAAATCTAAAATACCAACAATGCATTATGCCCACTGCTATTCTAATCAATATAGTAGTTAGCAGGATTAGCTATTATATCATTTGCCCCGGTTTGAATCCAAACGATTGTAAATGTACAGTATCTGTGCTGTATAAAGGCACTTAAAATATGTGTAATGGCAGACCGCACATTGAGTTGAACAGTGTTAAACGAATGTTGCATACTGCACATGCCAAGAAAACAATTTGGTGTAATTACTATGCTGGCGTGATTTGAAAAGAAGATAAATACGGTATATGGTAGATGTATCGCCATCTAATTGTAAACAAATCTGGCGTTTAAATCTTCGTAGAGTATAATGTAAATGTAAATTAATTACTGTGTTAAAATACTATTTTTTGCTGTACTGCTCAAACAACTAGAAAGCTGAAATTATTGCGAAGTAATGTGAAGCAGTGTTTAGATTCAAATGTAAAATATAAATACTATGAAATTCTGCACATTCCTTTGGAAACTGTACAAATTTTCGTTCAGAAAAAGACTGAAATTTAGGATATATTAGTTGAAAAATTTATTCATTATACTTTTAAGCAATAAAAACAATTCAGGATTTACCATACATTCCATTCGTACATACATAAAGAAACACTGAGGAATATAACAAGTGCTTGCAAATAATACTGAAGAAATTTGACAATTCTTTAATGCTAGTTATTAAATTCTTTGAAATGAGAAAATAAAAGTGCGAATATACGCTATCAAACTAAGCGAGATACTCCAGTTTACAATTACTGAATTATAACATGTAAACAAATTACATTTAAATAACGAATTATTACGAACATATGTTAACAAATATTAAATGCACTGTTATTGACAAATTAAAATGAAACATACATTAGAAAAATAAGCAAGTGCAAACGGCATGGACGTTAAAATAACTAATAAGCAAAGTTCCACAACATTGCAATTTTAAACATCACTCGACAGCCATGGAGATCACGAATAAGCTAACGTAGGGTTGCTTAGTCGCCAATATTTCTGCCCGTGCCAAAGCTACACCATCAAGCATGCACAGTAAGCGAAATTCGCTTAACACTGTTCAACTCAATGTGCGGTGTGCCATTACGCCTTAAAATACTGGCGAGCTTAAAGCCTTCATGAGAGAAGTTTTGTGATATGGGAAGATGGGTGGGAGATTTTTTTCTCTGTACACTTCAAAATTTACATAACCAGGATACACTTCTCCATTCAAAACGTATGCAGAAAAGTCTTGGTACATGTATGAAACTTGCATTGCTTGAATTTATCTGTTAGCATACATAAAGTGTATCATGTAACACTCTGTGGCATAGCATAACACAGGTTTTCTTAAACTTTTTGGTGTGGGGACCCCCATAATATTTACAAAAATTTAGTGGGACCCCACAAGGATTGCACAAATCTGACACATGTGTGAGTGAAACTGTCAGTTTCTTCATTGGTAATATAATATAATATTGCTGTTTTAGGTCATTAACTTTAATTTTTAAAGTAAAATAAAGGTTTCTTTTATAAAAAAAATGCCTTGAAATGTTTTCATTTTTTTCTTTGTCTTATCTTTTCCTATTTTTGGATGCATTGTAAAAATATTTGGTAATCGTAAAATTATTATAACAATTTAAAGAAATATAAATAATGTTAAATTTTTGGCGATCTCCTACTGCAGGTCCCCAATTGGGGTCGTGATCCACAATTTAAGAATCTCTGGTATAGTGTATTAATGCAAATAAAATTACAGCATCCTTTCATTATTCAGCTTATGGTATATTCAGAATAAAGAGAGTTGGGTTGGTACTGTTCTGTTACCAGGGCTGGATCCAGAAATGTATGTATGGATGTATGTGTGTGTGTGTATACATATATGCACAGAAACACATTTCTGAATCTGGTCCTGATAAAACAGTACCGTTGGGTTTTTTTCATAAAAAAAATAAACCCTATTAAACTAAAACCATCTTATTTGCTAGATTTCTCCCTTTTTGATCCTACTGTGTTGTTATGAATATAGTGCTAAAATGTCAAACTTTCAGACAATTCAAAAGTATTCAAAATGACGTAGCTGCCGTTCTATGCCAGAAACTAAAAGAGGCATTCTCATAGCAGTTTGAGAAATATTAACATTCTTCAAACCACTGCAAGAATGTCACGAGCACTGGAACAAATGTATGTTGTTTTGATGGACATTATTTCAAAGATGACTGAGTGATAATTTTAACATTTCAAACAGACCTGTCCTATAAGCCTTTCTTCAAGCTTTATTATAGAAATATAATTAAATTACAAAAATTATCAGAAAATATATTTTAACTTACCCTGCAAATAAAATCTTGAGCTCCAATAGAGACAAAGTGAGGAAACTTCAGTACTACCCTTCGGATGAGTGAATATGTTGAAGTTACACTGTCAGCTTCAAAAGGAGGCTTGCCTACAAGAAATTCATAACAAAGAACGCCAAGGCACCATAAATCCACTTTCTCATCATAAGTTTTATTGTCTAACATTTCAGGAGCAAGATAATCCAAAGTGCCGCACATAGTTGTACGTCTAGATGATGGAGCATGAACTGACCATCCAAAATCTGCTATTTTAAGCTCTCCATTAGCACCCAGTAATAAGTTCTCAGGTTTAATATCACGATGAATAATCTTTTTGGAATGGCAATATTTCAAAGCTTGACTTATTTTGGCCATGTACTGCAAATAAGAGCATTAGATATCATGTACGTATAGTATATACATTCTAGCATATAATAATTTAAAAACTCCACGCAGGTGTCACATTCTTTTAAATTATTACTATAATATTTACCAAAAGAATTAAAATAATATCAGTACAAAGTCTGAGATGTGGATTTGGAGGGACTTTGGTTACTCCAAATTTCAGATTATCACTTTAAACCTAGTAAAATGATATGCAGAAATTATATATATATATAAATTAACATTTCTTTAAGAGGCATTTTGCATTAAGAATTTTTTTCCCTAAATTGCCCAGAGCATGAAATCAAAATGAGATGCCAACATGGTGATATATTCTGGATTTAAAACCATATTACTGATATTCACTGTTCCATCAAATGACTGAAGCATTGCCATCACAATGCAAAACTTTAGCTACATCACCAACTGCTTGCCGAGTTCCGAAGGCTCTCCTGCGCTTAGAGAAGCTAGCTCCATGAAAAATTAAGCACGACATTACTCACTGTATTGAGACTACAGGCACACCTGTATTTTCATGGCTGCACAGGCTTTCAGCCAATAAGCTTAAAGCAGCCAAACAACAATTCCAGTACCTGGTGGAAACCGGAATCTGCAGACCCTCCAAAAGCTGCTGGGCATCCCCTCTGCACATGGTGAGAAAAAGCAATGGAAATTCGTGACCATACGGTAATTATAAGAAATTAAAGTCGCCAAGGAGCAAGAAAATGACGCCAAATTGCAATATATTTTATCAAGAAATGCAACTGCAGCCCCTTCCAATTGGTCAGCCTTCAGTTATTCTGCACTGTGATATCTCTACTGGTTAACACTTGACTATCGTTCCACAGTCATTTCGTCGACCACTGTTTAGCAGCCTGCACTCTCTCTCACACCCAGGAGTTAAAGCCTCAGTAAATCTATTTGACGAAAGATATGTTTGGCCTTCAGTGAAAGTGGATGTGGCATCTTGTGCTTGTGAGTGCTTACAATGTCAGAAATTTAAAGTGACACGCCATACCAAAAGTAAAATTCGTGTTTTTGTGCCACCTAGTGCTAGATTTGAACACATGCACAATGACTTCACAGAACCTCTCTCTCCATCTGAAGGCCTTCAATACTGTCTCACATATGTCGATCGTTTTTCCAAGTGGCCTGAAGCATTTCCGTTAATAGATATATCCACACAGTCTGTTGTAGCAGCCTTCTACCCAGGTTGGATCTCCAGATTTGGATTCCCACTCCGACCAGGGAAGGCAGTTTGAACCATCACTCTTCGATACATTAACCAAGTTCCTTGGTGCAGCTCAACACTGCTCATCTCCATACCACCTGTCTGCAAATGGCCAAGTTGAAAGATTTCATCAGCAGCTGAAATCTGCAATCATCAGTGGACTGCTGTATTTCCTACAATTTTATTAGGGTTCAGAGCCACATGGAAGGATGATCTGCTAGTAACCACATCAGAAATAGTGTACGAAGCTCCAATTCGCCTTCCAGGAGAATTCCTGTGCCCTAATCCTGGAACCCCACATCCAGTGACTTTTGTTGGAAAGCTTCGCGAATCTATGCAACGCCACCTGCAGTCATGTTTTCCTTCGGAAGAACGGAGTAAAAAAAAAAAGCCTTTAGCCGCCATATGAAAGCCCTTATGAAAGATTATGACCAGTTGAGGTGACAAAGTTGTCACAACTTCCATAAAGGGCAAAGCTAAGACCGTAATTATCAATTGGCTTAAACCAGCATATGTTACAAGAAAAGGCGCTAATGACTCAGCACACGCAACGACTGAAAGCACAACTTCCGTCTCTACAACAGCAGATGCACTTACAAAATCGGAGATTACCACATCGCCAGCAGCTATTCCTGCGCTGAACTGTGAATCATCGGCAATGGTAACTTGCTCAGGCCGGTGCGTACAGTCACCGGCATAGTAAAAATCTTGCCATCGCTGGTGGGAAGGGGGGCTGCCTGTAGCGATAACCAGACTATATTTCTTGAAAGACATGCCTCGGATGAAGAAAAGGAGACCAGGTGGTGAAATGCCTCGAAGAGAGGAGAAAGACAGGCGTCGGAGTTCACTGACACTCTTGACTTGATGTTCCGAGGTACACTGTTAAAAGCTCTTATTGTTTCGATTTTAAAATGCTGTAATATTTGCCTGTGTAAAATAAATTCTAACTTGAATATGAATAATTTCCATCTTACTTTATAAAGTTTCATCAAGCTATTTATTTATTATATATTCTAATATATACTCAGTAAAAATGCCAAAGTGTATACAGTCAAAAGTCGTTAATCCGAACTCGTCGGGACTTCGGCGATTCCGGATTATCGATCATCAGTTTAAATCTGGTAAGATGGCATGCAGAAATTAAAAATACGAAACCGTAATTTATGAAATAAAGAACAATTATGATCTAAAGGGTATCAAAATTTACAAAAGAAAAAAAAAAAAAAAAAAAAAACTTAATATTTATTTGTTTACTTTATTAAACATTTCTTTTAATGTAAGTTGTTTAAGTTGCTTCGTTTTCTGTGATAATACTTTCTCTTTAATTCAATAAACAGACATAATTTCTTGTTCAGTTACAAAGTTCCGCTGTTCAAGTCCCGTAATTGCTGTGCCAAGAATACCGACTTACTTGTTAATCGAAATGTTTTCGTTTTCAATAATCTCTGGGTCACTTTCTTCACTATCGAAAGCGAATTGTAATCACAAGGAACTTGATTTAAATCATATCAAAGACAGAGTACATCGAGATAAAATACTACACTTAGCAAGGAATTATAAGCCAAATAAAATAAAAACATCTGCCCTGAAGATAAGGATAGTGCTGACAGATCAACTTCCAATCCTCGGCGTGAAATTGATAAACAGATTTTGGATTTCAAAACATACTTTCGCTTTGTAGATACAAATTACATATTAGTAAATATATATCGGAAATTCTATTTGACATAATCGAAAGTTCAAGCTTACTTTTATGAAATTGCTCTAACAGTCTGCAAAAAATAATAAGCCGGATCCAATTCGAAGATTAAGGAACAACGCAATCTGCAACATTAACTGAATTAGATAATTTCAGCTCAGCTTATACCTCCGTCACACATTAAATGCGCATGCGCACAAACATATTAGCAGCCGTAAAGGTCTTATGCGCTCTCGTAAACGCCTGTGCGCATGCGCAGAAAGTTTGTAGCTTTGAGGTCCGGATTATAGGGGAAATCTGTTCAGAGGTCTTCCCCAGAGCCTCCAAAGGAAGCTTTGGTTCTGACTTCTTTTCGGTCTCCCCTTCTTCCATCAACTGTTTCCTCGGAGGATGCAGAGGAATTGATTTCTCCTGTTGTCTCTGTTCCTTCAGCTGTACAGAGCCACGGGCACCACAAAAAAGTTTGAAATTCTGGGTCCGAATTCTGTCCGAATTAACGACTTTTGACTGTATAAATAAAATGAAAGAATGCAGCAGAAGAACATTAAAACCTTTCCCCCTACTGCCATTAAAATGAGACTTCACTTTAAATCACAAGAGCAAATCTGGTAAATAAGGAGGGTTGTTTAGAATTGATATTTTGCTAGAAACTGTTTGACAAGAATGGAATTGAACTGCACAGTCATGCAGCAGAAACCAGATTAGTCAGTTGATCTTTTAGCAAGCCCACAGCATTAAATTTTCAGAAGTCTGTCCTTAATATCTATAAATTGTGATGTTCAGCCTTCAGTCCTTTGTAGCAAAGTCCTTGCGAATTATTTCTTCTCAACCAAAAAAGACCACCAGCACAATCTTAAAGATATCTGAAACCAAGGTTTTTGTAGCTGCGAAAAATCTTTTCTAATCTATGCAAATCATGATATATAGAAATAATTTTTTTTTTGGTTCTGCTACATTAATTGAAATGCCTTCGAATCAGTAAAGATAATTTTAGTCTAGCTTAATAGCGTCTGTTATACATTATTGGCTGTGTATCACAAGATTGGGGGGAGGTAATGTTACCCGCGTCTGTGATTATCCTTAAAGTCACACGTGCCCCCTGAGTGGTGCTAAATGGGTAATTGCCACAAAGTTCTGTGGCATACTGTGGTTTATGGGATAAGGTTCGGTTTGATGATTCTTATGACGACCCAACGGACCGCTCGCTCCTCCCTGGGAAAACCGGCAATTAAGGGGAGGATTTGAAATTTCGAGGACCTTTGATCTGGAGAGGAGGAGTCTTGTAGGAAGCAGCCATGTAGAGGATACAGGAGAAACACTGAGTTTTGCGTCTCAGACCGCCAGATAGTACAGGAGCCCGGGGCAGCCTAACCAGCATGTCCTGGCTGCTCTATCAGCTGGTGTATAATCTCGCCTGCCTTGTAGTTCCAGGTGGTGCCTGGGTGGGGTCCTGCATGGCAGAGCGGGGGGCTCTTCCGAGGTCACTGCTGGCTGCTGAATCCAGGGCTAGCCCCTCCAAACTGGCTCTTAGAAAATCGGAAGGAATTTTTCTCCCCCTTTTTTCAATCAAATACCAAAATGGATGTTAGCAATATAGAATCAGATAAAAACGCATCCTCTGAAATCCCCCACTTTAACCACTGTAGCTCCTTCTAAGGGAGTGAATGCGCCCTTGGATGCGGACGCTCTTCTCTTCAGGACTACAGAAACCAGAACCGCTGGTGAAGGGGTGAATGTGCCTTTGGACACGGACATTTTGAATCCAGTGGGGATGGATACTGTCTCCTCTGTCAGAAGTGCTGTGCCAGATGCGCATGCGGATGGATGACCAGTCACGAATGACAGAGGTTTTAAATAAAAGAAGAGAAAAGAGACAACGCCAGAAGGAGTGGAAACAGCTGGAGAGGGCAATGGAAGGGATCTCGATCTCTGGGGAGAAGGGAGAAAACAGATAAAGCTGGGACCTCTGGAGCGACCTCCAAACTGGTGAGAGAGAGTCATCCAAGCAATGAAGATTCTCGTAAGAGAGAACGCATTGCTGGTGACACCCCGGAAATGGCCCTC